TGGCCCAGAAGAGGCCGGAGGCAGGGGCGGAAGGAACAGGCAGGTTTGCGGGTACAACGTGGCTTCACAGAGGAGGGTCGGGCCAGAGTGTCAGTAGAGTCTGTCGGCCACGGTCGAAAATGGGGCCTGGACCAGAAGCTTCTGGGGACCGCGACGCCGGTGCCCGGGTGTGGGAGGGAGGGTGGGCCGGCGGAGGCGGAGAGAGGGATCGCCCCAGTTAGTCTGTAGACTCACGGCCGCCCCGGTCCGGGCCCCGCGGGGCGGGGAGGGGGGGAGGGGTGTTGGCGAGCCTCGGCAGTGGGATCCTGAAGTTCATTTGGCAGAGAAAACGTCCAGGAACATTGTGAAAAGTGGCCTTGGAGGTGGCCTGCCCCGTTGGTCATCACGGGGTGGCCGCTTAACCAAAGCAGCAGGCCGACGGTGAAACGGTCCCTTCCGTGGGGGTGACAGGTGTGCCTCGGGGGGCTTGTGGAGGATTGACCGTGCACCTGGATGAAAGCTAAACCCTGCTTCAAAATAAGTTCCAGACAGGCGAAAATAAGGGAAAAAGCAAAGTCTAAAAACCGGGAGCTAGAAATCGGCCAGAAAAAGCCGGACGAGCCCGTGGGAAAGTGGGCGGAGGACGAGGACCGGCCGTCCCAGGAGGAGCCGGTGCCCGGTGTTGGTCTCAAGTCAGCAGGGAAATGCAAATTGAAACGACAACGAGATAACACTTCACACCCATCAGATGGGCAATAATTAGGGAGGTGAGGACACCAAGTGTTACTGAAGCTGCTGCTGGCGGTGCAAATTGGCGGGGCCTCTGCGGAGAGCAGAGCGGCAGGATCCTGCAGAGTGCCACGGGAGCGCGGCCCGCGGCCCGGCCTCTGACTTCGAGGTGTGTACCCGGGAGAGAAACCCCGGCTCGTGCACGCGGAGCGGCACACGCGCACACGGGCGTTTGTGACGGTCTCGGAGGACAGCGGGACCGTGTGGTGCACGCCCAGAAAGACGGGGTGTCTTCGTGGCAGGAGAAGCGTGAACGGGTCTTTATTAGCCGGCGTCGATGGGCCGGCTTCCACAACGCGTGACTGAGGGCAGAGGCGAGGTGCGGGGCAGGAGGCACGGAACCGTCCCCTTTACGTCCCTGTTTGGAAAGCATGCGGGGGCACGTGCGTGTGCGGGAACAGGGAGGGAGGAAGCATGACACAGACACACGCACAAGGAGGGGGTTCCTGGGGAGGCCCGGGGACCCACAGGACGTCCTATCCACCTGCTCTCCTGCCGAGGAGGAAATCTCGCCTCCAGCGTCTCGCAAACAGCGTGTTAGAGGGTATTTTTGTCATTTGGGGATGGGGCCTGAGCGAGCTGTGCAGTCCAGAGGCCATCTGTGGCTGGAGGCATCACATTAAACAAAGGATCGGTACACGTGATGTGTAAAAGGCTAATGGAAACCGATACAGGACGACCCAACAGCAACGCGGGCAGGTGACCCCCAGAGAGAGGGACCGAGGCGAGCAGGCGGGGGACACAGAGGCGGAGGAGAGGCGCGGGGCTGGACGGGCAGTCGACAATGCAGAGGGCCGGCCCGGATGGAGACGGGCAGATGGAGGGAGGGAAGCGGGAGACTGAGCAGGGTAGCCTGTGGGCGGCGTTGGCCGGCCAGATGGGTGGTCAGGGTGGGGCCGGGGAAAGATGGCCAGGCTGGGTTCTCAGGCCCTGGGCAGCTGGGGGGCCGGAGGGCCCGGGTCCACATCAAAGGGGGAGGACCCTGGCAGCTGGCACGGCCCCACCCTTCCTGGCTCAACTGGGCTTCCCGCTTTGATGTGTGGCGGGGGTAGGGGGGGCACTGCCCACTCCTCGTGCACGCAGGGTCCTCAGTGCTGCCAGGGCCAGCCCAGCTGCCCTGCCCGGGGTGGGACGTGAGTGGGGTGACTTGAAGCTCCTAAGGTGGGGCCAGGGCCCCCGGAGGAGGTGTCCGCGTGGGCCGCACTTACAGCCGTCAACCTGCAGAAGACCGGTGCCAACCCCGTGCCGGGCTTGTGTGGAGGGGCCTAGGGGCCTGGGTGTCCTCGCCGCTGAGACGGCGTTGGGCTCCATCCCGTGGGCCGGCTCCCGGGCCAGCGTGGGGACCCGGGAGGGTCGGGCCGAGGAGCCAGCGGCCTCCATTCTTCTGGCTGTAGCACTTCTGGCTGCTGGTCCTGTCGCGGGGGCTGGTGGGCATCGGCGAGGCCAGCTACTCCACCATCGCGCCCACCATCATCGGCGACCTCTTCACCAAGAACACGCGCACGCTCATGCTCTCCGTCTTCTACTTTGCCATCCCGCTGGGCAGGTGAGGGTCCCCGCGCGCGTCCCCGTACCCCCGTCCCCGAAGTTGGCGCTCTGCGACCCGGACGCGCGGTGGCGGCCAGCAGGTGGGGTGGGGTGGGCGGCCGGCTGCCCCCCGGGCTGGTGAGCACACCGTCCCCCGCGCTGTCTCGTCTGCAGCGGCCTGGGCTACATCACGGGCTCCAGCGTGAAGCAGGCGGCTGGAGACTGGCGCTGGGCCTTGCGGGTAAGGACACCCCAGCCTGGGGTCCGTGGATCCGTGCGCACGGGGAGCTGGGGGGCCAGACCCAGTGGCCCTGCGGCCTCAGGGCCCCAGGACGGGACAAGGGACTCTCCCACGTGTCAGGAAGTTCCAGGTCCGCGAAGGCGCATCCTGCTCGAGCCTGGCGCTGTGGGAGGGCAGGGCTGAGAGGAGACCTCTGTGTGGGGCCCCCCGGGGGTCTGGAGCCCCTTCCTGTCCCGAGGGAGGATTCAGGCAAGTCTGCCAAGGCCCCAGGACAGTGCAATCGGAGGAAACAGAGATCCCCAGTCTCGCAGAGCAACGGAAGCTTAAGACAAAGTGTTTTTTCCTCAAAAGCAGGAAGGAAGCAGCCTCCGTGGAATTTCTTGACGGGGCGCATGGAGAGGAACTCCCTCCGCCCTGGGCTCGCGGGGGTGGGGACGGGCCTCCCTGGGCTCCAGCTGCCGGAGGGGCTGGTGTCTTGGAATGCGGGCCGCCAGGGTGTCCTCCTCCACCCGGAAGGGCCCGGGGCCGTGGCGGCTCTGTTCCGCACGGGGCAGACCCACCCGATCCCTTAGCTGGGGCTTCATGGCAGCCAGAGTCCCGGCCCCCAGGCCCCAGCCTCGATTCCAGAGTCTGTCAGGCTGTCTTTCCACGTGTTTGTCTGCCCGGTGGTCAGTTCGCTCTCCTTCCGCCTCCTCCCACCCCGGCCCTCCTGGGGGCTTGCTCCTGGCGAAACAGTGACAGCCCCCTGGGCCCTGGGGCCCCACCTGCCTGACCTACTCCTGCCCTACCAGGTGTCCCCCAT